ACGTAAAATTTCTGACATTGGGCACCGTCATTCTCTCCAACTATCACCCCTGCACCGCTGACCCCTCATTCCAAAAGAATCTGTGCTGGTTGGGCGACATGACAGGTTACCGCTACTGTGTATTCCAAAAACATTGCGCGTCTTTCGGTATTAATTTATCTCAAAACCCAGCATTTTAATTTCTCAGAAACGATCATTGCGGGAAAATTGTGGGCCGGGACTAAGATTTTTGAACGATCGATGCGATAAAACGATAGTTCGAGGAACGATAGAAGCGGGAAAATGTAACATTATTTTATATGGAATGTATCCGGGACCGAACAAAACGGACGATGCATCCGGGAAAACGATAGTTCCGGGTACAATGGATAGAGGTTTCACTGTAGTAGTGGTTAGTATTACAAACCCTGGACTATTGGCCATGTTCATTATGCCAAGAATAATGTTTTTGGAACTCTGTGCGTGCCCACTTCCCACTTGCTCAAGCGATAAGTTAGTTCATCTGCGTAGATCCTGTACACAGTGGTTGCATATCTGTGCTGGTTACTACCATTAAATTCAGAGAGACATGCTGAAAGAAAGACAGCATGCTCTTGTGCCATTACTAATCAGTGTAGTTTTTGTTCAAGTGATGTAGCGCTGAACAGCTACACCTCTTTGTTAGGCCAAGGGTAGTGTTTTTAGAATGCTTCCCTGCTTGCTTGACCTATGATGCAGTTTACCCATTCAGGCTTTATGTCGAGTACTTGTGCAGTAACTCTGCGGGTGATTAACATTACAATGAGAGACAGGTGCTGGACTACTGGTCTTGCTATTTTTTTTCCTTTTTGGAATGCAAAATATTCAGAATATTATTGATAGTCTTTAATGCCCCCCCCTCCCATTTGCTTCAGCAAAGACATAGTTTTACAATGCTGATTATTTTCTCTGTGCCAGATGTAACTGTCTACTACTAAACCTAAATTATTTGAAAGTTTTCTTCCCTGGATTACCTCTACTAGTTCTTTTTCAAGAGCAACACTTCTCCCTACTTCTGAAACCTGTGACAGTAACATGACCGAGACAGTGATGTTAACCTCTTGTAACAATAGTAAAACATTTATATATTTTTTGGTTATTGACATATTTTTGTTTTGTTTTTCTATTCTTTCACTCTCTGAATACTTTCTGGAAAGGTGTTGTTACCTTGAAGATTTCTGTCTTCTGTGTTGTTGCGCTGTGTAGTCTGATAGATGTTAACCAATGTCTCAGAGGTCATACTGCCTCCGTCATCAGGGCGATGACTTTGATTTTTCAAGATTTGCTGAAGCTCCCGCAGACTGTCATGGCATTTCACTGTATATACATTCATACTGTATCAATATAACTGAGATACACGCTATATATTAAAATTGTTTTGACTTACAATACTAAGGTTAATATGTGAAAGAACTTCCATTAACATAGTCCTGAATTTTGGTCCTGTATTGTAGAAGGCTGTTGAGTGAATGACGTACAGTTGTTGGATGTTCTAGTTGTGTTGAAGTTTTATTGAAGTGTAGTGTTGATTTTTTTTTCCCCAGTACTATGGACATGAGAATGATTATTGGTACTGTAGTTTGGCATGTCTCTGGTGTGGTTGTAATATGTTCAGTTATTAATTGGATTAAATGTATCCACCTGAACAATAATTATTCCTCACATAACATGATAGTTTGTGCATACTACAAATTTAATATTCTGATGTACGCCCGGCCACAATACAGAACCATGACTCGGGGTACTGTTCCAGCGGAAGTTTCATTGTATTTTAGTATTTAGTATAACTGCCACGGTGGTCTAGCGGTTAGAATGCTGGGCTTGTAATACTGGGGTCCCGGCTTCTGTTCCCGGTGGTGCTCAGATTTACAACTTGTGTTGGACAAGGCCGTGGTCCAGGCATCACGGAGTTTTCCTCCGGGGCTTCCCAACAATTACTTCACATTCATCATCATTTACTTACAGAAGAAGGCAATGGCAAACCACTTCTGAATCCTAATTGCCGAGGAAACGGAGCTGACGTCAGACAGAACACTTGTAATAATAATAATAATAATAATAATAATAATAATAATATATAAACCAACATAGTTGTGAAGGAGGCTGAAAAACGGACCAAGTATCAAGAAGACAATTTGACCACTAAGACAACAATATTCTTCACTTAACACTGTTAATACGCATAGATTTTAGAAATTGTTCTTCATAATAAGAGTTTAATTTAGTAATTTAAGGGATGGATAAGTTCAAATGTGTTTGTATGTATATTGTTATTGTTACAGTAAAGACTATAAGGGAATGCATTAAATAAAAATGGATTTGACTTACTGCTTTAATGACTGTTTTAAGTAATCATAATTGTGATATATTGACTCATTTGTATAGTAGATTAAAATCAAATAGCCTTGGCTTCAGAGTCCAGTTCCTGTTGTGGTTGGACCATTGACTGCAGTCCAGTCAGAGTACCTGAGTCAGCTGACGCAAGCAACAGAAAATTTGAAGTCTGCGGTAGGAATAGGCACTAGCAGCTCTGCAGCAGTGTCGGCTGTATCGTATGGCACATCCAGTAACAGCTATCCAGTTACATCATCAACGGCATATCAACCTCCAAGTCCTCCTTCTGGCTTCACTTCCACTTCAGGTGAGATGGTGTTTGTTACACGTGTTATGACACTGCAGGTTGTCTGTTGTTGAGATTAACCCTTTGCCGCGGAGATTTAAAGTCCGAGCTTGGGGTAATACGTTCTTAGTGTCCCTTTAAATTTTGCTCTAAAATACTATATTTATCATAACTTTGGAACTATATGAGATATAATTAAAAAATTTTCACTGAAATCCTCTTAAAAGATGGTTTTATTATCTTACCTTATAAGATGAACGCCCTGTGTGTGAGCAGTGTAAGGATGTGGATCAGAAGTTGAGCTTCGTGTATTTCACCGCCACCAC